GTAGAAGCCGTTTTAAATATTGCATGTACGATATACGTACGAGGTATTTTTGCTACTTAGCTAAAACCCGTTTGAATAGCCATCCTTGGATTGATATTACCTAAGAAAATGTCTTGTTCAAACCTAGGAATAAATACTATGCTATGATGAAATATTATTACTTAGCGGTGCTTAGGACTTGGTACCCATCATGAATACTCATCACTATGATTTCTCAAATGCAATTATTTTAAATGAAAACTTTGTGAGTGGTGAGATAAGTTGTGGGTATTGTGAAAGAGTTAATGAACAAGTTATAGATGATGATTACCCTAGAAATGGGGCGGATCGGATCCCTTTTGTGGGATGTCGTGGTGTTGTGGCTTGTACCTTTTGTGGTTAAGCGTGAAGATATCCACCTTGTCTCGATTAAGGACTGAGTTGATGATTCATCTCCCCTAACTTATTTTATCGTACAGCCACTCGACCTTGTATGTGGCAAGGCTTAGTCTAAATCCCCCTAGTTGGTATGGCAATCACCTGGAGGCAGGTGTGCCGCTCGGTCCCCTGGGCCCACCTATCAACCCCTCCTTCAAATGTCGGTTCTCCACCTCCTCCTAGATTGCATCTACGCCGTTCTTTCAAGTCGGTTTGATCCGAGGGTCTAGAATTTACGCTCCGGCCTATATATACCAGCCCCTACCCCCCTCCCAAGAGCCATCCTGAAACCCTAATTCATATTCTCCTCGTCAAGATCAGAGCCAGCTATCAAGAGAAGATTAGTCCTCTATATGATCTAGTCTTATAAATAGAAATAGTGAGATAGAGAGTGAGGAAAGAATTTGGAGGAGGCGCCGGCCTATCGGTGCTCTCTCTACGGCTTGTACCTTGGCGGATCAAAGTTCTCTCTAAGCTTGCCTCTGATATTTCTCTAGTAATCAACTTCTGATTCAAGTAAGCTTCTTGTTTATATTATTCATCAAGTTCACAACTCGTTTGAGTACTTTATTCTTTATCTGGGAAGAGTAAAGTAGTAATTGTAGTGTAAGCATGGTGCTTAGACTCTGGTTACTTGTGGATGCATCCTGTATTCTAGATCAGTGGTAGCTCGCGAGGGTGACTCTTATAGCCTCATTGAATCCTTTGTAGTCCACCTCCCATTTGTAAGGGCACGTAGGACGCGGTTGCGAAGGAAAGCATCCTCTGCTGGTGTCTTCCCCTAGTAATGTCCCCCAGTTGAATAGTAGAAGACATAACTTACCCAAGTCAGAATTAGAGAACCTTAGTTTTCCTCTCTACACTCCTATTTATCCTAACATTGTTGCTACCCTTAGTTAAGTTAGACCGTAGTTAGTCTCACACGTTTCCCTGTGGATACGATACTTGGAATACTTCTTGGTAAAAGCTACAGCGGTATCCGTGCGCTTGCGGATTTATCTGTGTGCGTTAAAATATACCAACAATACACTTGAAACATATGTGCACAGTCATTGCAACATGTGCAACATCCTGATCTACTTTTACAACACCGATACGAAACACTTGCAACATACCTCTGAAACACTTACAACATATAGTTGCAACATGCGCTTTTAGTGCAAACATCTCCTTGCTGCTTCGGCCAATGGAGGCTCGTCGCGGCGTGGAGGTCACCGGTGTGCTCGTCGGCAACGCGGAGCTGGGCGGTGGTGTACATATAGGGTGGGGTGGGGCCGACATGGGCGGTGGTGGCGTAGAGGGTGGGTGGGCGACGCGTGAAGGTCACCGGTGTGCTTGCCGGTGGTGCGGAGCTCGGCGGCTCAGAGGGCAGGGTGGGCCGGCATGGGCGGTGGTGGCACAGAGAGCGGGTGGGCGGCGCGTGAAGGTCACCGATGTGCTTGCCAGCAGCGCGGAGCTCGGTGGCGTAGAGGGCGGGGTGGGGACAGCATGGGCGGTGGTGGCACAGAGAGCGGGTGAGCGGCGCGTGAAGGTCACCGGTGTGCTTGCTAGCGGCGCGGAGCTCGGTGGAGCAGTGGGTGGGGCGGGGACGGCGCGTCGAAGCCACGACGGACGAGGCGGAATGGGGAGTCGCGGGGTGCAGACTCGTCCATACGTACAGACGCCTTCCATGGGAGGAAACGAAGGTTGGTGGGGATCACCTAGGAGCAAAGCACGGCGGCGAGGAAGGCATGTGGGTGAATGCAGTGACGCATGGAGCGAATAGGGGAAGGAGGAAGGTGGGTGCCCACGACGACGCAGGGATATTGTAGCGGCGCAGCGAGCGATCCTTGCAGTGGAGAAGGAGCGAGTCGTGTAGGCCTATGCGAAGAAGCCCAATGCGGTGCGCCAAATCGTTTGGGTCCGCGGCATTAATGGTAGATGCAGCGTCCGACGGAAATAGAACCGTCCGGACGCCCTATTCCAAACATTTCTGAAATAGATAAGCAGGTAGTCATATACCAAAACAAAAATGCGGGGCTAAGGTTGTGTGGCGTTTGCCCTTTGGTATGTATAGCCGTGGGTTACAAGGACAAAGGGTGTTTTAGCTAGCTCAGAGGGGTAAGCATGAATCGGTGCTAGCTCATGCTCACCTGCACTGCACTTACGTACTGTACGCACGTAGCAGTAGCAAAATCCGGTTACAGCCGATCGATGATATAATAATAATAACTTATCCACACATATAGTATATGATGATTGATGATGACTAAAATACCTGCTAGTCCTCATTTCAGTGATCTATGAGCTGACCTATCTGGGCAAGTTTGGTGACCTGACCAGTCGCGAAATGTAATCTAACCCCAATAACCTTTACTTTGATTTTGCACTCAAATCCTAATTAAGCTAGAGTACAATTCGATTAGCAGCCTCTCGTAGTCTTAGAAAAAATAATTTGGTCACTTTTACAAAAGTTGGAGAGGCATTGTCCCCGTTGTATATATAGTACATTTACAACAAGACAATCAATGATATGTTAAAGAGGAAAAAAAATTTACCAGTCTGCTGATATGTGGAGATGAGTACAAACAAAAATGGTACTATATATAGTGGCATGTGGTACGGTTTTCTCAAGGTAGGTACTTGCGTCTCGGCAGATCCGATGACAACAACAAAAATACATAGAAGTGTTCGTCGTCTTGAACCGCACCGCACCAGCTAGAGCTAGCAAGGTGAGCTTACTTCACAGGTGACAGACAAACAGCTTGCCCATGCCGCAATGCAACAAGTGCTTGCATATCGATCGTCTTGGTCCATTCTCTGATCACACACGAGGCCTGCTGCGCACAGTCGGGCTTGGAACAATTGCCCGCATCAAATTAGTTGATTGAAATTTGAAAGCCTCCGGCGGCGCGGCCATTTTGGCGCGGAGGGAGCAGTTCGGTCGCGTCGTTGTCGACCTCAGGGTCAGGGATCGGAGGGAGGCGGCGGTTTTCGTGGCGGGCGGCGGCGCACAACAACGACCAAAGGAAAGAGAGTCGCGCACCAACCTCCTGCCTGCCCAAAACAGGCCGCGCGCTCCATCAACTCTTGTCTCTCTCGGCGGCTATTAGTTTTTGCCACGATGGGTTGAAGATTGGATAATAACGAAATAAAAAAATTAGGAACAGCTTCAGCTGGACTAATTAATATGAAATCGTGGTGCAGCAAGCAAGCATTAGAAATGAAATCGTGGTGTATTAGTGTAACACTCTAGGTCCGGCACACGGCACAGGCACCACTCTACCGGGGGTGGGCCCCACCTACGTAGCAACCCGCTTACGTTTTTCGCCCCGCGCCGCGTGCAAAACAGTTAACCGAATATTACTACGCGTCCTTGGCCTGACTATTTAAGCTGGTTCAGCGAACTCAGAATTCACCGAATGGTACTAAACTTCGCCGCTACAGTGTTGGGTCTCACATCCACCCATCCTCAAAGGATTCGACGTCCTCATCGAACTATCGAACCGGCTTACCCATACGAGACAAATGCTCATGATCGACTTTCTTAGCCACGTTCATATTCCCAGCTCCCCGACCCAAGTGACATGCTCTTGCAGAGCCATGCGCAGCCTGTCCGAGCTCCCGAGCCATACGTCCGTGAAACCGTAAGAGTTAACTATGATACCATTTGTAACACCCTAGGCCCGGCACACGGCACATGCCACACTCCACCGAGGGGTGGGCCCCACCTACGTAGCAACCTGCTTGCGCTTTTGTCCTCGCTTCGCACAAAACGGTTAACCGAATGTTACTACGCGTCCTTGGCCTGACTATTTAAGCTGGTTCAGCGAACTCAGAATTCACGGAATGGTACTAAACTTCGCCACTACAGTGCAAAACGGTTAACCGAATGTTACTATGCGTCCTTGGGACTATTTAAGCTGGTTCGGCGAACTCAGAATTCACCGAATGGTACTAAACTTCGCCGCTACAGTGTTGGGTCTCACATCCACCCACCCTCAAAGGATTCGACGTCCTCGTCAAACTATCGAACCAGCTTACCCATACGAGACAAATGCTCAGAATCGACTCTCTTGGCCAGGTTCATATTCCCAGCTCCTCGGCCCAAGTGGCATGCTCTTGCAGAGCCATGCACAGCCTGTCAGAGCTCTCGAGCCATACGTCCATGAAACCGCAAGGTGGGGCCCACCCCTCGGTAGAGTGGGGCCTGTGCCGTGTGCCGGGCCTGGGGTGAGGCCCGGCACACGGCACAGGCCCCATTCTACCGAGGGGTGGGCCCCACCTACGTAGCAACCCGCTTGCGCTTTCGTACTCGCTTCGCGCAAAACGGTTGATCGAATGTTACTACGCATCCTTGGCCTGACTATTTAGAGCCAACTCTCGCGGTTTTTCACGAACGTATGGCTTGGGAGCTCGGACAGGCTGTACATGGCTCTGTAAGAGCATGTCACTTGGGCTGGGGAGCTGGGAATATGAACGTGGCCAAGAGAGTCGATCCTGAGCATTTGTCTCGTATGGGTAAGCTGGTTCGATAGTTCAACGAGGACGTCGAATCCTTTGAGGGTGGGTGGATGTGAGACCCAACACTGTAGCGGTGAAGTTTAGTACCATTCGGGAGGCGGGAGAATGTGTGGTGCTGGCTGCACAGGTGGTCCATCAGCAAGCTCAAGGGGCAAGGGCGCTAACTCCGGTGTCTCAACATCAGGCTGCTCAAATTCTGGTGGCACTGCTGGAGCATTTGGGACTAGTTGATGTGGTGAAGCAGGTGGTGCTGGTATGTCTGGGTTCTCTACTTCCTCTGCTGCCTCAGGTTCCTCTTGCTCCAGATCGACGACCATGGCTGCTGGGCTCTCCAAGGATTTCTACCAAAAATAAATCTCTGTGGTTTCTAGTTACTATACACTGGTTTTCTCTTTCTATTTCCCTTGACTTCACCCCTCTTTGATGTGTGCCTCCAGCGAACCAAACTGAGCCCGAGTTGAATCTTAACAACTCAGGCAAGAATCCTTGATCATTCTCTCCTTGAGTTTTTATACAAAGTTTGAGAAAATAAAAGTAACCTACATTAAATATTATTTTCTGAAATTAACTATGGATGGATGATATTTGAATTTGATGATATGGGGTTAGCTGATGGAGCAGCTAATTCCCTACTGTATATTTGGATGGAAAAGATGGGTAGGACTAATAACCAACTCTCACTTGTGTTATTGGGCCGTATAAATTCGTGTCAACCATGAACTCGTTTGGGACGAGTCGATTCTAGTACCCATGGAGTTGTTGTATAGTCCCGTATGGGTAAGCTGGTTCGATAGTTCGACGAGGACGTCAAATCCTTTGAGGGTGGGTGGATGTGAGACCTACCGGCGAAGTTTAGTACCATTCGGTGAATTCTGAGTTCGCCGAACCAGCTTAAATAGTCAGACCAAGGACGCGTAGTAACATTCGGTTAACCGTTTTGTACGAAGCGAGGACGAAAGCGCAAGCGGGTTGCTATGTAGGTAGGGCCCACCCCTCGGTAGAGTGGGGCCTATGTCGTGCCGGGCCTGGGTGTTACCATTAGTACTGATTTGTATAGTATTAGAAATCCGTATAATCGTTTCACAAAAAAAAAAAAAGAAAGAAAGAAGAAATCCATACCATCTACAGCCTGTACTATATGCCTAGTCACATGCAAGCAAGCATGTACATGGGGTCCCAGCTACAGAATATATAATGATCAGGTGCAAGAGGCCAAATTGGCGAAGACTACTAACCACACTACTGTTGTGTGCAAATGTGATGCAATCAGCTCATCACGGCTGTTCAGCTGTTAACCTCTTGGCTTAGCACAAGAGCCGCCGGGGTTCAGGTTCAGCAGGCTCCAGAGGTCAAAACTGTTCTCAGACCCCCAAAGGGTTCAACTAGGCCTTGTTTAGTTGGTGATTTTTTTTGGAAAATGGTACTGTAGCACTTTCGTTGTTATTTAGCAATTAGTGTCTAATCATAATCTAATTAAGTTTAAAAGATTCGTCTCGTGAATTTCGTCTAAACTATGTAATTAGTTTTATTTTTTATTTATATTTAATGCTTCATACATGTGTTCAAAGATTCGATGTTACGAGAAATCTTAAAAAATTTTACAAAATTTTAGAAACTAAACAGGCACCTGCTGTGATGCCAGTCCACGTTGCATTGAGGAGCCCTAGATACAGAGCTTCATCGACCCCACAAGAAAATTGGGGACAGTTTCGGAATATGCTCGCACCAAACTTTGTTTTGGTCAGCAGTTTTCCATGTTAGCCCTCCATGATGCGAGTAATTTAACAGTGAGGAATGGTGGGCCTGTTTGTGGCAACTGAACCGTGGATTGACCTGAAATGGATGGATTGTTTTGTTTTGTTTTTAAAAGCAAGTACGGAATGCGTTTTCTATTGTAGGTGTTTGCATTTTTTTAGTTCCGGCTGCTCCTAAGATTTGTATGCTAAAATAATGCTGCTCTCGCTAACTAAAGATACGAAGAAGCTTCCGCAGTGCACTACAGGAATTTTGTATGTTTGCACTTTAATTTTCTCCCAGGGAATCGAAAGCTAAACAAAGTAATGAAAACTCATCAAAGGCTGTTATACTGACAAATGAAAACTCGAGTGAAACATGTAAACCTAGATCAATAGGATGAAGATGCTAATGTTGGTACACAAAATCTGTGTTGTTTTAAACACAACGCACTACATACATAACCTTCGCTTTGACATGTTTAAGTAAATTTGTCACGGAAAAGTAAATGTATTTTTTTTGGTGGCATGGGAACTCTAGAAAGAACGGAACGCAAGATGCTTTCGCGGCGCAACAACAAGCGTCACTCAGCTGCTCGCCTCAATCCGTCACCCGGCAGGCCAATGGATGCTAGCGGGAGCGATGAGCTTAGGTTGTTTAGTTCCTGAGTAATAGGCTTTGGGAGTTCTTGGCTAAAGGAGGGGTGCTCATTTCATATACTTTGCCTCGCCCTAGTGCGCAGCCCTGGCGGCGCGTCGTTGTAATCAAAACTATTTCTTAATCTTAATACAAAGATGCGCAAACGTTTTGCGTATTCGAGAAAAAAAGTAAATGTATTTTTAGAGGTGAGATGTGATCTTTTGATGTATTTTGGTTAAGTCCATTTCATGTAAATCTATTTAACACAAATATTAAGTTGATGGTGTTATTTCACTAATTGTTCACAAATATGCAAAAATATCTCACACCCACTATAAGCAGTAAGAAGGAAAAAAGGGTTGAAAGTGATGTATGATGTATACTAATGGATATGACACTCCATCCAATGAGAAAAAAAGATGCCATGCAGATTTAGGTGCAACCAAACCACCAATTTTGGCTATGAATACCTTTTTTTCAACGACAATAAAAAAAATTAAAATTTATGCATACACTTTTGCATGGCGTGGATGTTCCTGTTCGTTTCGTCGTAAACGATCGTGGATTATTTACTGCTGGCTAGTTTGGTGTGAGAGAAAAATACTGTTCCAGCTTATAATCCACGATCGTATACAAGCAAGCGAACAGACTGGTGATATATGACTTAGGAGAGGGTACAATATTCTCTTGTTGGACATGTGAAGATTTTACATGACTAGCTCTCAACATTAAAAAAGAGAGCCACAAACATCTCAAGTATAATTGAAAAAAACTACAACCTATTTATTTTAAGTTAATATACTCCTATATATATATGCAAATCTAACGAGATTTGAAGTGTAAGTACTTTTTTATACAAATAATATTCTTCTGATAACTTAAGGCATAAGCTAACTTTATTAAATTACTAGTCTATACCAGTATCATAAATTTGTAAAAAAACAGGTTCACATGAGGTGCATGCCTCACCAGCCACTTGTTCCTTGAAACCCCAAACCAAACCCATGTGCAGCCCAAAGCAATGGTCTGATCTCCCTAGAAAGAACATTTTCAAAAAAAGCCCTTGCACTTCTCCAGCCCAAGTGCCCAACCTAACCCCTCTCCAAAGGGTCAAAAAGACGAACGAAAATAAATAAATAAATAAAAAGGACACGCACCGGCACCTACCAGCCGCCACCTTCCCCCTTATACTCGCCGGAGGCGAACCAGTGCTCGTGCCACCCACCCACCCCCCTCCTCTTCCTTGTGATCTCCGAATTCCCATCTCAGATTCCAAGGGCCGCGCCGTGCAATCTCCGGCTCTCCCCGCCCACCATATATCCGAGGCTCCGCCCCCGCGTCTCGAATCCTTCGCCGTTACCAGTTGTTGTCTGCCGTGATTTGAGCCGGGCGGGCGGACGGATTGATCCCGGGACGAGGTGTCTCAGTTCTTGATCCTGGGAGGCGTTCCTGGTTGATTTGGTGGGAGCGAAGGTGAGATCCGTTCTTTTGATCCCGCAAAGTTTTTCCTTTCGTTTTTGCAATATATAATTTGTTATTAGGCCGTTGAATGATCTTTACCCCGGGGAGTGCCGTCGGTCGCTGTTGGAACCGCTACCGCTGCCGGTGAATGATCTTTACCCACGTTGTCGCGCCGGTGACCACCACCTGCCGGCACCGGTCCCTCGCGGCTGTAACACCCAACTGCACGAGTGCACCACATCACCGCACAACTTCCTCCCCCCTTTTGTCCGTTGCTTTTAATTACTGCGATCCAAAACCGATCTTTTTCGTTTTCCTTGCGCGTGTGGGTATTAACTGAAAAAGGTGGGTGATTTGCATGTGAAATCTGCTTGAATAGATCACGGGACTTGGGGCCCTTGCACGAAAAAAGGTGGCACCCTTACGTGTAGATTACAACTCGAAAACGATGTGCTGGATGCAATTTGTCCTCATCCAGAATTTTAGCTTTTGGCGTTTGGGGATTCATCTGCAAGATTTTGGAAGGTGCTTGCTTTGCCGTGTCGAATTCTGTAGTATTGTCTTGGTGAGCAGCTTATGACTTGGGGTGAAGGAAGATTTATTGCTTTGGATCATATGGTTAATTCATTCATGTTGATATTTCTGAAGTAGTCTTCAGAAGAAATTTTCTGTATCGCTTTCTGTAAAGCGCTGTGCACTCTTTTGCAACTCCAAGAAATGTTTTATTCAGACGAACATGAAATTTTCTTTTACCCAACTCTTTAAGGAAAAGTCCAAGCTTTTGTGTCACTTTCTATATGTACTTCATATGCTGCCATCTAAAACTTTCTTTGTTGATCTGCAGTAGCCATGATACCTTCCGTGAGGCTCTCTCCTGGTCCTGCAGCCTTCTCAGGCTCCAGCCTACGCTCAAAATTACCGTCAATTCCATCCATCTCGAGTCTCAAACCCTCCAAATATGTGGTCTCGTCGCTGAAACCACTCTACCTAGCACCGCTAAATGGCCCGCGCACTGCAGAGCTTAAGTCTCCGAGACAGCGGCTCGAGTTCCGTTGCGCTGCTTCTGCCGCCGATGACAAGGAGTCAAAGACTCAGGTGGTGCCAGTTCAGTCAGAAGGCGCGCAGAGGTTAAAGATCTCCATCTATTTCGCGACCTGGTGGGCGCTTAATGTGATATTTAACATTTACAACAAGAAGGTTCTCAATGCTTTCCCTTACCCCTGGCTCACCTCCACACTCTCGCTCGCCTGTGGCTCTGCGATGATGCTTTTCTCGTGGGCCACCCGTCTTGTCGAGGCCCCCAAGACCGACCTAGACTTCTGGAAAGTCCTTTTCCCGGTGAGTTGGTTATTTCGTGCCAGTAATTCTTCTTTTATTTTATTTATCTGCCTGGAAAAGTGTAACTGAATTTGGTGATTAACTGATGAAGGTTGCTGTGGCACATACAATTGGCCATGTTGCTGCGACAGTGAGCATGTCTAAGGTGGCAGTGTCATTCACACACATAATTAAAAGCGCAGAACCTGCATTCAGTGTTTTGGTGTCAAGGTTCCTCCTTGGGGAGACGTTTCCAGTTCCAGTCTATCTTTCTCTCCTTCCTATCATTGGTGGTTGTGGTCTAGCTGCTGTCACAGAGCTGAACTTTAATATGGTTGGTAAGTAAGAATTGCTTTTTTGACATCCTGTTCTGACTCTTGCTTAGAAATTAATATAGCTTTTCCTTTGTACTATTAGTGTAAAAGTTATGTTTTAGAAGCACATATTTAACTCGAGCTTAATAGATTCAGTTCCAATTACTTTTGGAGAAAATTGATTTGTGAGATTATTCTTTTACTCTATAACCTGTCTCTAGATTTCTGCGCTCTCATGAACTTATGTAGACTTGAAAAAAAATGAATAATAATTGTTTAAGAAACCATTTGAAGAAAAATTATAAATGTATATTCTTATCCTCTTCTCTAACATATAAAGCATGTTATTGTCTCTTTTCCCCTTTTTCTTCCTGAACTTTTATGCCTAGACTAGATTTAAACTAGAGACAAAATAGGAGTCATAGACATGTTTGCAATTGTTTTCAAAGGTTTCTCACGTGTTACATGAAGCAACTGTTCTCCCTTTTCTCAATGTTAATGTTTACCATTTGCCCTCTCACCAGGATTTATGGGTGCCATGATATCCAACCTTGCATTTGTTTTCCGCAACATCTTCTCGAAGAGGGGCATGAAGGGGAAGTCTGTCAGTGGCATGAATTACTATGCTTGCCTGTCAATAATGTCCCTGGTCATACTGACTCCATTTGCTATAGCTATGGAAGGCCCTCAAATGTGGGCTGCTGGTTGGCAAAAGGCTCTTGCAGAAGTTGGACCCAATGTTATCTGGTAAACAATAATTTAATATTTACAATTTTCCTTACATAGTTGTCAAGTGTGGTCCCCACCCACATTACATGAGATGGCTTGAAACACTCGTCATGTTTTTTTGCTATTCTAAGAGAGACCTACATGCATTACTATTTCTTTTCTGTTGGGCATATTCATGTTAGACTGTGGTGCTGCCCTTATCATTTATCAAGGACTGATATATCATGTTGGATTAATGTCAGGATTTATAGTGATATTATATCACGATTGTATGTATATTGATAATTTCCCTAATATGTTACTGTTGAATTTATAGGTGGATTGCTGCACAAAGCGTGTTCTACCACTTATATAACCAGGTGTCCTACATGTCTCTCGACCAGATTTCTCCATTGACATTTAGCATTGGTAATACAATGAAGCGTATATCAGTGATTGTTTCATCGATCATTATCTTCCACACACCTGTCCGCCCTGTCAATGCACTGGGAGCTGCCATTGCCATCCTTGGCACATTCCTGTACTCTCAGGTAACTTGGCTGTCTCAATTTTTCCATGTGGTTGTGCTTTTCCTCTATATACTGAAATGATCACTTTCTTCTGAATTAGGGAAGGAAAATGGAATTTATATTTAGTGTTTAATTTTCACTAGTCAATCTGTGCTGACAGATGTATGGTCCATGACAAATTACTGCAAAAATTGGCACAGCTTACTTTCTCAGTATGCTTAGTTCTAACCTATGTTTCAATCTCAAAAAGTAGGATGGATTGCGTTAAGTAGCGGCATTATATTAACACAACTATAGTTAAACTGGGAAGATAGGTCTTGTAATAGTTTTTTCCACACTGAAACACAAGGCTGACAACTTAGAAGAGAAAAATCACTGGTAATCTTGTGCTGCATGGATTTTTGATGCATCCAGTGATGTGTACTAAACTCTGCCAAAATTGACATTCTGGTGCAGGCAAAGGCTTGAGGCTAAAACTTTGGCAAAGATCAGATGGCCATGGACGATGAACATCTCTGCAGAATCAGTAGCAAGCACTAAATCCAATTTTGCTTGTTCAAGTGGTATGTAGATATAGGGTTAGGTTTTCCGTATGAGAGGTCATAATAATGGATCAATGGCTCTGCTGTTTTGTTCTTGTTTGTTGACCAGACTGAAATCCATAGGCCATGAACTGCGGTTGAGTGTACCTGAATAATACTGTAACGGAATTCGCCGATGCTGTTTCTTTCTGGGTATATATAGTCCAACCAAAATCCCGGTTTCAATAGTTTGTACTATCAAAAGTTATTAGTCGTTATGCATTCCAGTATTTTAGCAGAGTTAAGTTGGGACCATGAGCGCTTGAACCCCTACCTTTCTGGCATCTGAGCATCATGTGAAGTTTGAACTACCAAGAATTAAGATTTCAAAGGCCTGAAGAATGTTCTGTTATTACTAATATGTATTGCAGGGCTAGTGCAACAAAGTAGAATATGGTGTTTTGTTTGGGAAAACATTCAGTACAAACTTTCTACTCGTTGGAATCGTGAAAACCTTTAGAAAAACGTACACCGAGTAGATATAGGGTGATTTGCACTGAATTTGCCGTTTTGTTGTTTTGCTGCGATTGTGATTGCGTTGCCAGTTTAGAAGAAAGATAGCTGAAACATAAATAATAGATGCGTGGAAGGTTTGCAACCTTTGGGAGTGTATCCTATTTTCTGGGGGAATTCATCCCGTGCTGTTCCTTTCGACAGCTCTCTCTGGCGGTTGCTCAAGTTGGGCGGTGGGCCTCTGTGGCTGCAGCTGCAGCAGCGATGCCGCAACGGATCGGGCTGAGGTTTATGCTTCCTCTGCTTTCTATGGCTAACAATAGGACGACAAGCCGACAAAGCGTACTTTCTGTAGAGACCACACACGCTTCAGCTCGCTGCGTGAACTTTTTGAAACACCTGGGGGCCACGTAGTGGCACCGTTTCTGTCCACTCGTCTGATACGGTATTTTCCCAGCTTAAGCAAAGGTAGCAGAAGGAAGAGTGTACTTCTACGTCTAGTTGTAGGTAAACTGTTTTAAAACTAACTAGGTTTATAGCATAAAACGGTACCAACAATTATGATTCCATGTTTTATGATTAATTTAATATAATACTTATTTTATATTAGCATATTTTTGTAAAAAAGTGGGTCAAACAAATTTTTTTTTGACTTAACATGTGGATGGAAGTGCACTCTTTTTTGGACAAAGGGAACTGAGCATAACCTTTTGAAAAAGCAGAGAGAACATATTTCTTTTCAAGTCATGTTTTGCTCGTTATTGTAGGATGTTTTTTTTTTGGCAAGAAAGCCTTTACAGATATATTTAAGATTATACTGTAAATAAAAATACTAATAAACCTTTCATGCACTTGATGATATTAATAAAATTTACTGTTCATGCGTCAAATATAGGTTTGATGTCATAATTAGGTCAACAAATCCAGACTTTTATAAAGTACGTGTTCGGTAAAATGAATTGAGTGGCGGATTGAAATGAAAGAAACAACCTTTTAAAATGCTTTTGAAAATGCTAGCTAAGCGTAATTGTAATGATCATCCGTGGCCGTGGGAGATCAACAAAAGTTAGGCTTAAAAAGTTTTGAAACGGAGTTGTTTGCGTTGTTTTAATGAGCACCTGAGCTCCCCGGTGACACCACTGTAGTTTCAGAACAGAGGGACTTGGGACTGTTTGAACCGTACACCATGTATTTCCGGTGTGCACAAACACGTTAGGCCCAAGCAGCTAACAATGCCTAATGCTGGGAGTAAAGGGGCATCGACGAGTCATCGTGCGTACATGGCATGGAGGACAACTGTCTCTCCCAGGCTCTTTAAAACTGCCGGCTCCGGCTCTGCCATTGGAAAACAGTTCTCGTGCACAAACCGTTTGCGAGGGTGCAAGGGCACCGGGTTTCTCCGGTGACCCGCCCCGAGCTTTCACCAGAGAGAGAGAGAGTCCAACAAAGATGTTTTTCTGACCAAACACGCGCACACATGCCTTTTTTCTGACCGGAACTGAATGAATACCTTCTCCTTCAATTTTTTTTTGTTTTAGTCCGTACCTTTTCAATACTTATAACACACCAACACCAACAATCACTTCCTTCTCCGTATTCCTTTACACAACCCTTTAACTTGCTCGCTGTCGAGTACTCACTCCATTCCAAATTATAAGAGATTCTGACTTTTTTAGATATATTTTTTTATGCCCTTAGATAGACACTATATTTAGATACATTAAAAATAATATATCTACAAAAGCCATATTAAAACGCCTTATAATTTGGAACATACTGTATGGAGTAATATTTTACTTATCAAGCATGGGAGCAAACTACTTCCTTTGGAGAGCACTCATAACGTATAAAAAAGATGATTGGGAAGGAGAGAGAAGATTGAAGGATTGTTTTTCGTGTTGCTGGGGGCGATGCTAAGATGCCTCTACGTCAAGGTTCTAGTTTTTCAGCTATAGCTATATATTGCTATCTCCGGCTATAGCTGTTTAAGGAGAATTTAGCTATCTCTAGCTATAGTCCTATCTGTTGTTTTTCGGAGGTAGATTGCTAAATGGCTTAGCCGGTGATTTAGAACACTGTTCAACACGCGTTCACCGACACTAGTAGCGGTTATCTTAAGCAACCTTAAACCCTAACATTAGTATTTGATAACCCTATAAACAAACTCAGCATCGACCACTGAAATGGCAAATCGATGCCAAAAACATCTCTCTTCTATGAACCATCCGATTTTCTCTCTTCAAAATTACTGGTTCCGATCCAGTCAGGTCACTGTCAGGCCTGTCCATCTCTCTGCTTTCCATCTCCCCACGTATATCCCGATCACACCACACACACGTGCAGCGAAACTGCATAATATGATCCATGCGAAGCCCAACCATTCACTGATACACCTGCAGGCTGCAGCAGTCCTGCACCTTTGAGTGTGAGGCGGCGAGGCCCCGAGAGTCCAGTTTTCTCGAGGTCGGTCTCCGTTTGATACAGCCCACATCTAGTAGCTCAAGCTAGAGCTCCCACGCGTCACGTACACGTCGACGCGTACAAGGCAAGCCATGTATACTCTGACCCCGCGCTGCCACCTCCAGCCGGTCCGCCGGTCGCCGCCGCCGTCGCTGTCCGTCCCGTCCCGCGCCGACCGGGACGAGCTGCGGTCGACGTGGCCGCAGCGCGCGTGGACGCTGGCAGGCACGGCGGCCATCCTCTCGTCCCTCTCCACATCCGCCTCCCTCGTGGCCGCGGGCTCCAGCTCCCCCGCGGAGCCGCTGGCCGCGGCGCTGGCGGCCTACTCCCTCGCGGACCTCGCCACGGGCGTGTACCACTGGTTCGTCGACAACTACGGCGACGCCTCGACGCCCGTGTTCGGCGCCCAGATCACCGCGTTCCAGGGCCACCACCGCCACCCGTACACCATCACGTTCCGGGAGCCCTGCAACAACCTGCACGCGCTCGCGCGCGGCGCCGCGCTCGCCCTGACCCCCGTCGACGCCGCGCTCTCCGCCGCGGGCTCGACGTCCGCCGCAGCGCACGCGTTCGTCGGTGCCTTCGCGGCGTGCGTCGTGCTCAGCCAGCAGTTCCACGCGTGGGCGCACGAGAAGCGCCGCAGGCTGCCGCCAGGCGTCGAGGCGCTGCAGAGCGCCGGCGTGCTCGTGTCGCGCGCGCAGCACGCCGCGCACCACAGCCAGCCGTACAACACCAACTACTGCATCGTCAGTGGCATGTGGAACGGGCTGCTGGACAGGTACAAGGTGTTCGAGGCGCTGGAGATGGTCGTCTACTTCCGCACTGGCATCCGCCCGCGGTCGTGGGATGAAACCGACGCCTCGTGGAAGGAGGACACCGGCGCTGAAAATGCCGCCGCCGCCACCGCCGGTAATGATGGTTTGTTACAGACAGCGGGCATCAGCTCTGACTGACGGTCTGCACTGATGCACATAGAAGTATACAGCTACCACACAGGTACATACACATTAATTAAGACGGTACACAAAAATGTTTCAATTGATGTGATTGAAGGCTCAAGCTCAAGACAGTTTTTGATAGAGGAACAGTCTCCTACATATGAGAGAGAACACGTCTCCAGACAAATTTTAGTCATTTGGGGTCATAATCAAATCAACACATTTTCTTTCTTTGTTTCGTTTGTGTAAATCTTATATGTTGTAATATTGTAGCTGTCTTATATGTTGTAATATTGTAGCTAGGTTCCCAGAGGAGAAAGATTGGTGATGTCTAAAATTTGATCATTTTCACACGCTTTTCCTTAAGAATTTCCTTTGCCAACAGTTTTCTTGTGGTTGGAATTTAAGAGGATTTCTATTTCGTGGTGCGAATCTTTTGAGTTATCATAGCGGGATGCTCTAGAAATTTCAGAGCTCTTGTCTTTTCGTCAGAAAGTTCAGAGTCAGCCAAGCCACATTCAAATGAGTGGCCTGAGATGACCCACCCTGTTAGTCTTTCCTCAACCAATACCAAGTCATACACAAACACTTCTATACTTTCTAACGGAACAAAATTATCCATTCAATATACTGAAATAATGTCAAACAAGCTTATGTTCGAAAGGGCAACTTATCGAGGCTCGGATAGCCAATTCGAACAAAATTATCTCCAATTCGAATGGATTCAATGTATCCCAGCCTTTCCGAAGAACAACTTATCGAGGCTCGGATAGCCGAATTACACACACCATATGTTCGAAAGGGCATCGTTCCAATGCCTCCCTTCAACCAAATAGCCTAAGCATCAACAACAGCAAGTGTCACACGAACAAAGCAGTAGAGGCCAAAGGATGCAAGACTGACGATACAGATCTCTCAGCAGGAACCACCATTGATCCTAGCTGCAGAAATTTCTAGTCTATACGGCAGCTGCTGCTGATCAAAGCTGTGTGAATTGCATTGCTCTGCACCCAAGCAGAATAGCACCCTCCTCTTTCGCAGCAAGCCATCATTTGCAAGTTGCAACAAACCAACAGCAAGAAAATGTGGATGACCAACCCGATCATTCACTGCAGTTGATTATATAGCATGTGATTTTCAGTGATCGCATTTAGTGGAAGGGAAGTCATCAATATGGCAGGGCAAATAACCCTCTGGAGATACGGCAGATGCATGCATCATTGTGGTCTGGAACTGCACTGTGCTGAAACAGAATGCTCTTGACGAACCTTCCCTCTCCATAGTATGATTTGTTCATCTTTAAACAATATGGGAATACATGGAACCAAATCCTGTAAAATTCAACAAAAAAGTCAAAAGAATCATCAAGCTGCTACTTCTGCAACTGCTTCTCAGCTAAGGAGCAAGACAGCTCACAGTAGTGTTTCTAGAATCTAGACACAACGTAGGTTCAAGAAAATAGACTGATAAATGAAGCAACAATGAGTAATATAGGGAGCAAGAGAGTCAAAATGGCTATATGCATACACAGTTACACACAGAAGAAAAAGCATGAGAGCATACCCTCAGCTTCACACCAATTTTCTTGCAGTCACTAGTCCCAACATGAGTGCAATCTAGCCGGACAACTTCCACAGTCTTAAATGCTTCTCTCACTTTATCAACAACATTAACATAGACACCATTCCTAGCTGCACAACACAGAAAAACTCTTTGATGAAACAAATAGCTTGACAACACAACTATGTGATGGCCAAGAGAGCCCATATAATCCAAATGCTATAAAATAATGTTCCAACTTACTCAGTTTTGTAAGTGGTGGAGAATTTAATCCTCTGTTCCTCAATTCTTTTGTTTCCTCGAAAGTCAACCCTTCAGCAACATTTTGCACAAGCTTAGGATAGATAGGAGCTAATGGTTTCCACAACATCAATGGTATATCAGGCCTTCTTTTTGGGTCATAGTTCTGACCACGATACAGGATGATGATGTTTATGCTGCGGTATATGACTTTGCCACCTATTTTATCCTGCACAATGTGCACTCGCATGAGGACATGACACAGACACTGAGAGAAGAGTACAAATCCTAGTATCCTCAAGCTTGTAGTACCATATTATGACCTCAAGATGGAAGCAAATGTTGTCCATGTCGAGTGTTGGCACTCCCAGGCATTTGATCCTCACAGCTTCTGCACGTTTCCAATGGTTGTGAATGTCATCAAGCATATTGTGTGTTACCCCACCTTTCCCTGAGAGCATGAAACAACATATTTATACCAGGGCATGTAATTTTTTCTATCGCCCCAAATGGAATGTCCCCGTGAGCCTAGATACATAACCTATACGAAATTCAGATATAATGGTGCAACAGTATATTCTGAAGAACAACATTCTTTCGATGCAACACAACACATGGGATTGAACCTACAATGTGGAATCAGATGTAGTTCTTTACTATGATTTTAATGCAAACTGTTCATCAGAATGCCAAATATATGATCAAAACATACCAAAATCTAGGAAATATACTACAAAATTTGATCTTTTCCACTCAAGAGATGAGAAACAGTGACCAAAGACCATTTTCTCCATATGCCAAGAACAATGAATTTCTTCACCCATTTCACACCAAAAACTGAATCCTACTTCATAAGGCATCAACTTTCCAAACACCTACAAACATGGGGAGCAGTTGGATTACATGAGAAACCTTTCAGAACCAATCCAAACTACGGAGTATGTTGCAAGTGAAGCACTCTTTTTTGCAAGGTTTCAGCCCATTTCACGAAAATGGTACCTGACTGTGCCTAATCAAACAACTACTCATGCTCATCAGTAGGATTTGAAATAACATAAAGCATCAGAAATTGATGCCATTCGGGTACTGGGAGCATCAGAAATAACAAACTCACCCAGATTGATCTGCCGTGAGCAATCACTGTGCCGGTACCTCTCCACAAGCGCCGCCACCTCCTCCTCCGACAGAGGTTCACCGAGAACCTCCTCCCGGCTCCTCTCGTCGCCACTGGCATCCTCGCCGACGCGTGCTGCGGCTGCGCCGTCCCATGGGCGGTCGAGGCGGCCGGGTCCGAAGGGCGAGAATCGGGTGGGCTCGCGGAACCCGATAGGCCTCCACGCTGGGTCCGTCTCCGAGTACGAGTACCGGAAGTCGAACGGAAGGTCGGAGTGCGCTCGCTCGTCGGGCCTGATCTTGCCCGCCAGAGCCTTGGGCTTCGGCGGCGGCGTCGGCATCGATGGCGCCCGAGGTGGGTGCTTAGGGATTCGCGTGAACGGAGGGTCATCATCGGGGTCGGAGAGGGATGAGGAGGAGCGCAGGAGGCGGCCTGCTAGGGCCTGGGCATCCTGAGCGGGGCGCCGCCATGGGAGAAGCTTACGAGGAAGAAACATCTTTTGTTGGGTTGGGATGAGCGAGAGGTGGAAGATGAACTAGGCTGAATATTGAGTTGGGTTTGCTGGGCCCCCAGTTTGCATTTCTGGCAACTCACAAGCGATAGATGTTCTTCAAAAAAAAAAAAAAGAACTAAAAAAAAGCGATAGATGTTCTTATATACGGAGAATATTTTGGATATGTATTATTCCAACTTCCAAATTACATGTTATTTTAATTTTGTTGAAAGTCAAAATAATCTGATCAATTCTTAGAAAATAACATATACTAGTTTAAATAAATACACTATTAAGACATATTTTATGAAAAAAATAATAAAACTAATTTGATGTTGTGGATGTTGGGAGATTTTTTTCTTTAAAAACTTGTAAAATTTAAAAATTATTTGGATTTAGTAAAAACTAAATCAATAAACAAATAAATAATATAAGCTAACAATTTTCTATTTAATACCTGACTGTTTTTAGTTGTTTTCCCTTTATTTCAATGATCCATACCTCTTTGACATTCGTGCTTCTGTGTTTCATTTTTGTGAATCTCCGCATAATATGTGAAACATGAGTAGTACGACAGGAATCTAATCACAAGGTATTGTTAGGAACTTCAACAAAATTTGATTTTGTGCATATAAAAATATAAATGTATAGTTTTTTAAACAATATCTTACTCTTTGGGTAATCCTTCTTGGAATGGTCAGTTTGCTTGCGGAAATGTCATCTCAACTTTTTTATGAATTTGTCCCTCACTAACGCGAAATGGATTCTTCACCTTCTTTCCTTTATTCTCTGATTTTGCCTGACTACTTGTAGTGCCATTATCCATCATGAGATGAGCAGAATGAACCCCATTTTTCTTTAATCTCCCATTCTCAGGGGTGGAGTTAGGATTTAAGCATGTGGGGTGGGGTGGGGTTGGGGGCGGGTAGGGTGTTTAGGGTTGATAATGCCCACAATAATCACACATCATAAAATATGTGCACACGTATATTTATTGAGTTGACAAGAGTATAGTTAATAACTAAATTAATATTTGTTTTGCGATACAAAAGAAAACTAAAATCTAAAACGATATTGAAAATTATAGTGAATGGGAGAAAAAAATTAGCCCTAAGCCTCTAATCTCCATCCCACTAATCTAATTTATAGGCAAAAGATCATTGTAATAACAGGAATGAAAGAGATGAAGAATATAAAAGAAAGATAATCCTAAAGCATATAGATGTCATTGGAGGTTGACAAAGAGGGAAAATAACAAAAACAAGCACTAATTAGCATCACTAGCTAGCTAATTGATCATCTACCGTGCAGGACAACTAGGATATTGTGTAGAAAAAAGCACAACAATAATAAAAGAGCAAAATAGAGGAAGAAGATAACATAGACATTAGTCATAAACCATATAGATGCCACTAAGGCTTAACAGAAAGAGAAGAGGACAAACAAATAAAGTAGTAGTTAGTTATTATCATTATTTGTTAGCTAGTAAGAGAGGTTATATTGAGCACCCAAAGGGTTGGAGGGTGCCAGGCCCCCTAGCCCCTTCCCTCCGCCCCTACCCATCCTCCTTAATCAACATTGCTTTGGATTCTTGGATGTTTCATTTATATTTAAATATGTTATAACTTACTTGGAACAGGCCAAATTTAGGAGGAGGAGAGAGCCTAGCAAATTACACCAAAAGTGGTCCTCCACATTCATGCCTATGGAATTCAACTTTACGACAATGTTTATTATATTCGTTACATGACTATGAATAGCAAGTGACCAATTAAATTTCATGGTCATCAACTCGCCCGTGAGACTCACAACAACAGACTTATCACTTTGTCAGTAATATCTGAGTGACAATGTTCTTTAAGCTTCTCTACGTGAATTCTTTTGCATCCTTAGTTATGGGCATTGATGGCTTAACATTTTTAGGTACCATCAATTTTATCAAGCTTAAAGACAACCAGTTCGACTGTTCCCAACTAAGGCAAGGTTTTTTGTCAAAACTTTCATCTGTATGGAACTACACTATGTCAAAGATAATGCAAAAGACTGAGAAGTGTATCATTGACTTGCCTGTTACCCCAAGTCCATGTTGAGGTGAGCTCTTGGTTCACCACTCCTCTATAAAGCTTCCAATCCTATAAGGTTGTCTCGGTACCTAGAGCACTTGATCTCGAGCTAGATGGAACAACAAGGTGCTACTCAATACATCTTTACACTAGAGTTGCTCTTCGCCTGCTTCGATGGGGATGAGCACAATAGCCCTCACAAATCCTTCTTCGGAGCACCAACACGATCTTCTTGTTGTGCTTCACGGAGTCTGCAAACTCCAAGCCGATGAGTGGTGGCAACCACCAAAAGTAACAAGAAAACCCGCTTGCTCAACCATCTTCTAGTGCCACTCAATGAAATCACTCAATGCAATGTACTAGAATCCTGATCTCACACTCAAATGATGAAATCCCAATCAAGTATGTGAGTTGAGGAGTTCTAAGTGTGCTATTGTATTATGTGTATATTTGAGGCTTGTGAAGGGTCCAAGAGTACTAACATGCTCGGACAAAGGCGCAAGTATATAGAGCCCTACACACTGAACTAGCTGTTATGCTCTTATTCTTATTGGGCAATTTTTGTGAGCACGGATAGCTCCGGTGTACACCGAAGTGCACCACCGGAGAGATCGTCAAACGATCACATGTACTGTGAAGAACTACCGTTGTAAACTCTGGTGCATTCTCTAGTGTGAGCACACGAGAATTCTAATGCATTCTGATAGTTAGGGTTTGCTCAACCTGCACTTTTCTAAAACTCTGGTGAATTCTAGTGCATGTTATACCTCAAACATGCACCAAAACGCCCTCCTTGTACTCACTCTTTGGTGCATCTCTCTGTTGCTCCGCCGGAGAGTTCCGGTGTACTTTTTTGAACTTTGGCGCTCTGTATATGTGCATTGTACCATATCTCCGATGTAGCACTGGAAATACGGCTTTGACATTCAAACTCAGCATGAGTCGAGCCCTTTTGGGATTCTCTGGTGCATCTCTCCAGTGCACCACCGAAGAGTTCCAGCGACCCTAACAATAGTGCACACACTTTGTTTTTTAAACCTTTTTCAAACATGCTAAGTCCAAATGATCTCCCACAGGTTGATCAACATCTTTAAGTCTTAGTTAGCATTTTTCAAACATTTTTAAAAGGTTTGTCACCTGATTTTTGAAACACCACTTGAGTCTATATGTAATGCAAAGATTAACCTCACAAGTTATAAAATGGGGGTTCCGTAAAACCAGCCATCAGCCATCACAGTCATATATGTTTTATTTAATTTAAATAGTGCTCCAACATTACTCATGCATCTTTGTAGCAACCTGCGGTGTGTCCTTCTAGTGCATCCTATGCATGAGTCTTCTTCTACTTTTTTTTGTCACAACCGGTTCTTTGTTTTCAATACATTTTGTAGTAATATGATTTGAGTTTTCTTGTTGCCCGTATTTATTTATTTATTTATCGATTTTCATTCAAGGAAAAGGGAAATTATATACGTCGAGCCACAAAACGTGCCACCTTATCTGATTTGTTGTTCCACCGTCACCTTATATTATAGTTATATAGGATGTGCATCAAACTGTTTCGAAATCTCCATCAAACTTAAAACATATAAAAAAAGAGCACAAAAGGAAGCGGCGGAGGCAGAAATGATTTTTAGGTGTGGCGAAGTTTATAAAGACCAATCATATAAAGATAAATATGTAAGGGCTAACTAAAACATTATATAAATAAATATTACTTTGTGATTAGCAAATATAATAGAAATCCAAAAGTAAGGATTGCCACTTAAAATTACCTCCGTGTAATACGTACTAAATCCGTTCCAAATTATATTTCGTTTGACTTTTTTAATCCCAAGTTTGACCACTTGTTTTATTCAAAAATTTGTGCAAAATATCATTTCTTTTGTTGTGGCTTGCTATATTAACAAAAGTTCTTCGAGAATGACTTGACTATGTTTGCACAAATATTTTGAATAAAACGAGTGGCCAAATTTAGGGTTAAAAAAGTCAAATGAATTATAATTTGGAACGGAGGAATATCAATGTATATCCTTAGGTAAATTGATTAACATAAAAATATAATCCAATTACAATTCTAACTTATATAATACCTTTCATTATGTATTATGTATTTTCTCTTCCGTGTAGTACGTATCAATGTATAATTGTACTCGGACTCGCGGCTTCCATCCACATGCCAGCGTCCGACTTGCCAGTCGCCGTCTTTTGCATGCGGTACGGCCGTCGCACCGGATTGGAGTAAACGGACGGGCGGAGGAGCCTATTGATTAGGATTGATCATGGAAATTGGAAAAGAAAACAAGACGCGTCATGCGGGCTACCACACGCATTAGCTTCTTGCGTTGGATTTGCTACCATAAGGCCCAGCCTGGACAACTTCACTTCTCAGCTCGCTTCAGTTTGTTTCAGTTTATTCTCTCTTACAGAATATTATTGAATTATCCGAAATCATCCGGAATCATCCGAAATCTGATCAACTGAACGGGCCCTAAAGGTATGGCGGCTGCCAACCCTTGCCATATACCTGCCTCCGCCCATGAAAGGAGCACAAAGTACATCAATCAAAGAAAATAAAGAGGAAAAATCCGCACCTAAAAGCTGCTAATTTGGTACGAGAAATATGGTAGTAGTATATCGACCCTACACACAAATCGTGCAAAGATTCAAACATTCCAGTTCCAGGCTCTGCCTCAATCTTTTCCCTTACGTTTTGAGTTATGAGGAAGCAGACTTCATTAAACACGCTAGCTGATATTCTCGAATCTTTCAAAATCACAATAT